GGGCCGGGGGCGGTGCGGGATTAGGCGGCTTCCCGCCCCGGCAGGCCTCTGCCATCTCCCCGCGCCGCCCCGCCAAGCGCAGGCCGGGGCTTTCTTTCCCCAGATGGGTGGGTGTTCAGGGAACAGGGGCTCACGGCGATTGCAGGCTGAGCCCTCCTCTCATAAGGAAAGCCGCCTTTCGGCTTTGTCCACGCTGGAGCTGGCGGCATGGCCAGTAACGAGTTCACATCGCTGCCGTGGCTGTGAGCACGTGTGGGAGCCTGGCACCGCTAGCCCCGGTGTTGTGCTGCTGCTGCCCGCCGGCCTGCTCAGACCTTGGAAGCAGAGTTAGGGCCAGCCTTTGTGGGCTCTTCCAAGGAGCACTGCTACCTGTTGGGTTTATCAACTTCGTGTTTGGAGAATGTATCAGCAGAGAGTAACATCTGGGGCTGCCGGTGGAGGACTCTGTGGGACCTGTTATATTAACTAATGCTTCTGTGTTTCCAGGTTTGAGGCTTGGATTTGCTTTGGAAGTAACAGAGCAGTTGTTGCCTCGCTATATCTACGTGCTGTTTATAATCTGCTAGTATTATTACAAATAGGAAAAAAATAGGAGAGAAGGTATGTGCGTATACAATACTAGTGTAGTTTTGACTAAGTCTTACATCTTCTGCAAGTGGCAATGTGCTCTTGTAGATCAGGAAACTAAACTTCCTTGGCTCTTAAAACTTCCGTATTTTTATAGGCATCTCTGTTTTTCCTTCTGCTGCCAAGCTTTCAGTGGGTATCTGTGGGTGATTTGGCATGTGCTCCTTCTCGAGACTGGCACAAGTTGATAAGCACTCACCATGACGCAAGCAGTGTGAATTTTACTGAATGCAGGCAATTGTTACTCTCTAGTAATTCCCTTCATTCAGAGGCTGTCTTGCTGATCTGTTGCTCTTTTCTTCATCTAAATAAGAAGCAAAACTGCAGAGTGCTGTGTGAACGCTAATGAGGTATATAGGATAATGAAGTGTAACATGGTCTTGGAGCCTCTGTTTTGAAGTAACACCTAGCATACTATGCTGTCAGTAGTGAAACAGTTCAAATCTGTAACCACAATTTGGAAACAGCATGTATTAGTGCCATTTATTACAAGAACAGTGATCATTTTTTTTAAATCTAGTACCTTCAGATTCATGCAACACATCTTAAACAGACTGGACGTGTGCAGTTACTGAGTGACAGTATTTGGCCTACTGTTTTGGTTTTTTAAGCTTCAGGAATAATAAATCTGTTTAGAGACAGACTTTCTTAAAGCCTTACTTGTATGCAAGTGTCTGTGCTTGTAATGCAGAAGTTGTACAAAGGATGTGGTTCAAACAATGTGTTTTGTTTGTTTTGGTTTTTTTTTAAATTATTCTTTCAATGTAGCCTACTGGAAATTATGTTTCCCATTCACATTACTCCAAAATATATTTTAGGAGGCAACAGACTTCAAAAGAAGCATTACAGTAGGCAAAAGAGTGAAAAACATTCTGTTTACTGATGTACTATGCTTGAAGCCAGGCCTAAAAATCAACAAGAGGCTGATTCATGTGTGTATTTGTGTGTTTTTTAAGTCATGCAACTTTTTTGACAGCACTGCCAGCCAAGTGTCTCACTCAGCAGCAACATGGTTCTGAAACAGCAGGAGCTCTTTGGCTCAGTGATTTTACTCCAGATAAGCAATCGTGTTTTAACTGCTCGCCCAGTGAAAGTACCTTGCTGCAAACTTGAGAACTGAATTCATTTGCATGTTTTATTTGAAAGTGTCACCTTTGTATTTCTGCTTTCCAGCTGCCTTCCTGAGAGATGAGGTGCAATTCTTATTTATAATGTGCTGGTGTGTGGGGGACTTGCACTGGCAACATGACAGGCAGGCAGAATTCTAGATGTTCATATACACTCCTATTTTACTCATATCTTCTGAGAGCCACGTAGAAATACCTGATGTGCCTGTATCATCATGAATACGGTTTTCTTAGCTGCTGCTCACCATGAGGAGATCAATGCTCTGTTTTGCTTTGTAAGTGGGGAGCTGAGATAGGGGGATATATTCCTGCCACCTGATGGAGACTATGCTTCTGTAATCAATAGAAAGGTAATCCTCAACAGTGTTTCCTGGAGGTACTCTCTGGTCTCCTTTGAGAGATCCAGGGAGACTGAAAGCTGGGAAGCCCAAATAATCTGAAGCTAGGCAGTGATACTCCAGAGGACTTGCCTAATGTGGCAAAACTAGTCAGTCAAAATACAGATATGCTTCTTCTCAGTCCTGGGGATAAGCATTTTCTGTCTCTAAATGGGCTAGAACAAGCTAAATGGAAGAGTGGAAGTGAATGTATTTGTGTGATGCTTTTACCTGTCAGTGTTATCGTAAGTCGTGTCTGCTTCATCTTTCTCTTCCTTCAGGAGACAAGTATCTCAACACCTGCCAGGAAACTGGGAGACTGCAGGCTGAAGTAGCTGTTAAATAAGTGTGAAGCATGAGGATCAACTCTGCTATTCAGGCTGCTATTGACCTCACAGCAGGAGCTGCAGGTAATGCTGGAGAGAACTTAATTGCACAATACTTCTGAGGGACAGTTTTGGTACCTTTGACAAATATAAAAGCAATTTCCCATTGCTATAAAAAGCCTTGCCTTCTGTATTTTAGGATATGGAGGTGAAGCAGGTGACCTCAGCCAGCGTTGTAACTGCATCACTATCACTCCTCCCTGGTGAAACCCCTGCCAGACAGTGATGGTGTAACCCTTATTTCAGACTAATAATTTTCCAGGAGGAGGTTTACCTTTCGTTGTTAGTTCTCACGCTTACGTGAGTTTAAGAATTGCTTGCAAGTAGAGTTTTGGAATGAACTCAAACCTTGTGTTAGTGATTGAGGTGCTGGTTTTATCACAGGAACCCTCTCTATCTGAAGGGCTGTTGGCTCAGACAACATCCTGGTGTGAATCTTTAAAAGCTGGGAAGGACGCTCAGTAGTAGGACTGATGATCAAGAATTCACTTAACTAACTTCCACTTGGTCTGGTCTGTGCTGTAAAGTTTTGCTGGACCAGTTGTGACAGTCACAAACGTGAAAACAGTTGCGTTGTCTCACTCACGTTATCATGTTGGTAACATCTGTGGCTGAGGGGTGAACTCTACCAGGGAAAAGGGGTCTTTCTGACATTTCTAAGCTGACGGTGTTTATACAGAAAAGGTGAAAGGAAAGATCTGTCTACTGCACTGCTGTGACCAGTTTAAACAGTGCATGTTTTTTTTTCCCCGCACAATAGCTATTACAGTCAATCCTTTTATGACTGTGTTAAGGCTGTGAATATGACAGTATTAATGGTGTTAAGTGGATTCAAGGGTAGTTATTTGAGGTCATTTGTCAGAGTGGAGTTAACCGTTGTGCAGTGAAAGCAAGGGGTGACAGATAATGTGTCCAACCTGGCACCTTTGTAAAGCGTTTGGACTGCCACCACGTTTTGCCCAGCAAATAGCTGCTTTGTTAGCCTTTGCAAAATATGTTATTGACTAGACAACACCCCTTTGTCCCTGCAAGGGAAGAGAATTGTTGCTGCTATTATTCCTTCATTGCCTTAGAAAAAATATGTTTCTGTTAGTCTGTTCATTCTCCTTGGGTTTTGGGTCCTCAGTAAAGAATAGCTATTATATACGTGCTATTTCCCAAAGCAGCAGCTTAATATCTGTGCAGTTCTTAATGGTTTTGCAGATGTTCCCAGGTGCTTAAGTGGGAACTGTGATTGCTTTCCTTCCTGGTACTTCAGCTCAGAAATGCTGCTATTAACATCCAGGGCAGTGGAGTGCTCTGGCTTAGGAAGCTGACTTTTTGAGTTGAAGCCTGGTGTGTCTCATCTTGGCTACTACAAGAGCTGGAAACTGGCATTAGCTTAGTAACTAAGCATTGCCTGGCGATACTGTTCCATGCCCACATTCAGGCTAACAGGTCACGCACTTGAGGCTTGCCTGTTTTTTGGCAGTAGAGCTTAGAGGATCTTAGAACTAGTTATGCTGTTTTCTTCTCTGGTATAGTTCTCCTTCCTTCAGATAAGATTAAGGAATTCAGACCTTTTTCAACATGACTACAGTAATCCTCAATCACTGTTCTTTTTCTTTGCTACTTCTGTTGTAATAGATAGTTTTACTGTTCCTCTAGTATTTATTTTCCATGTTCTTTCCACATACTTGCTTTGTATTGCCTACGTTCAATAGTAGTGCCCGTTTCTGTGTTACATGTGTCTCTGCACCCTTTAGAAAGTGTATTTAACTAGGCAAACAGCTAGTTCCTCCAGCAAATGCGTAACCTCGTTTTACCTTCCTCTCTAGGTACAGTCTTGACTAGCTGATAAGTAATGACATATTGGGGCAAGTAAATTCTGAGCAAGAATAAATAAGTCATTTAGCTGCCCGTGGGTCATAGTCCTTTGCCTAGGATCTGAGCAACCTCTAATCACTTTTTTGATTAATTAGGACTCTCTTCCATACTGTTCCTTTGTTATTATTAGGACCATGTTTGTCTAAATGTTCAAGCAGGGTTGACTTATTTTTCTGGTTTGTCTTGGGTTTTTTGTTGATTTTTTTTTTAGACTCTACTGCTGGCTGGAAGAATTATTTTTTTTCTTTAATATTTTAGATATTAACTGGGACTCTTGGTCTTTACCTTGAGGCTTACAAAGTTCGTTGCTGTAGCTTACTGGGCTTCTTGTAGCACCTCCAATGACAGTGTAAAGAGAGCCCTTTCCCTTTTTGGAACAGCCGTTCACAGTCAACTCCCATTTTTTCAGCTTTGCATTCCCAAGACCATTCCTGGTTTTCTTGGGCTTCTTCCAAAAGCCATTATTTTACTACACGTGGATGTTTTAGGTCTACCTTTACACAGGAACCTAGCATTTGTCCTGTAGTTGAATATCTACCTGACTTGCCTGCAAGTAGCATTGGCTGAGCCTTTCCCACTCCGCTTTTCATCTGAGGCTTACATGGATGTTACTGGTCTGAGCCAGCTACTTCCATCCCAGAGTAAGAAGCATTTCATGCTTCCTTGCATGATTTGCTCTGAAGCTTTTAATGGTCCATCTGGTTGAGAATGAGGTTTTATGGGAACTAGGATGTTGAGTTCCTCAAGACCTGAAGTACCTCTTTGCAGAGGAGCAAGGACAATATAACACAAATGTTTTCTCAGAGAATAAAATCGATTGAAAATAACCTTGGTTAAACACTTGCTCGCTCTTTTACTCCCCACTTAGAGGAAAAATAACTAATCTTAATTGGACATTTGTTTCTGTTTCAGTTTCTTTACATTGTCTGCATTTATAGATAATTATTTCCATTTCATAGCTGAAAAAACATCTTGTTAACTTGCCCTGTTTAAGGTATATGCGTGTCAACTGTGCTTTGGTTAAAGATCAGCTTCTGTTTGAGGATGATTCTTTTTTTGCTAAAAAAGCAAAACCATAAAGTCTATATAGAGTACACCTATCATATGTTTCCTGTTAGGTATTGGCTCCTAAAAGATTGCTGTCAGTGTGTGCTGGTATTTCTTACTGGAAAAGTGTAACGTTAGCTCCTTCTGCAGAGTACTGAATTGAGTTAGATCTTGTGGAAGAACACTGCACTGTGGGCAAAGTGGTTATTGATGACATTGATGGATATATCTCACAAGTTTTCAGGGTATTGGCCTTGCAGTTTAGTTTGGAAAAGATAACACATTGAGAAACTTTGCCCTTTTGCCCCTTTTCAGCTTATCCTGGATGCTTTCTTCCAGTATATGGGAATAAATGTAAATAAGAGTCATCTGGAGTTTTGAAGTAAAGTCTTTGGTTATCAATTTATAATGCATCATCAGTTTTAGCACTCTCAGCAGTGTTCCTCTTGTTCTAGGGGAATCTTTGTCTCACTTGATTACAAATCTTTCAGTTTTTTGTTATTGTTGGAGCAAAATCAGATGGCTTTTGAACCACTGTGTTAATGAGCAAGGGAAGATGTTGCTTAACTCATTAACACAAGTGACTTGATTGCAGAACAATACCTCTAATTCAGTACCCGTTTATGTAAGTGAAAGGATTCATTTAGATCCTTGCTTTTAGCAAGGTAAAGAAATGTTTAAGGAGAATCAAACTGTTACTGCTGTTACGCATGATTTTTTTTTTTGTTCAGGTTAACTAAATTCACTACTGACAATTGATGCCATTGTGCTAAAATCAATGCAGTTGTCTTTTCATCTTTGCTTTCTGTGTGATTTTCCTAATAGTGCTGTTCATATATACAGGCCTTTCAGTTGTGATAACCTTCAGCCACCCTTTTAACTTCCACTGCTTGCTTAGGTGGGACAGCATGCGTGGTGACTGGCCAGCCCTTTGACACCGCGAAGGTGAAGATGCAGACATTCCCTGACCTGTACAAAGGAATTGTTGACTGTTTTGTGAAAACCTATAAGCAAGTGGGGTTTCGAGGCTTCTACAAGGGAACCACACCAGCGCTTGTAGCCAACATTGCGGAGAACTCCGTTCTGTTCATGTGCTATGGATTTTGCCAACAAATTGTGAGAAGAATTGTTGGAGTAGACAGGAAAACAAAGCTCAGGTTAGTAATAGAAATCTGTTTCATATTTTACAATAAATAAATAAAAAATCATGCAACTGCTGCTTTCAAATATTGTATTGTCAGGGTGCAGCTGATGTCCCAGGCCCCCTTCTGCCAGTATGCAGTGTAGTAATTTTTGGAATATACACCTTTGTGCTAGGATATGGTGTCCAACTACAACAGAGCCATCTACTTGTCAGTGCAACTGACTGGTTTAGATAATCACAACTTAACTGGAATATTAGCTTTGTTCTGCCTCTGTCATGTCTGTCTGCAAATGGGAGTAGCAGGGGAGGCCGTGATTCTGCCTTTGATCTCTGACATGACATGGGTAGCTACCGAAGTGCAAGACAAGTATCTAAAAGTGGCGTTATGTGAGATGTTCTCCTGTCACATGCTAAGATGTACTTTATCTTAAAACTGAGGCCTGCTACGAGGGAGTATGAAGTGATGAAGAAACAATTTATATTAATTGCTGTCTACTTGCATTCTCTTTCACTGTTTTCTGGCAGTTGAGACCTCTCAGCTGAGACAGAATTGTTTCTACCTTTTTTTATTGCTTTCTTAAATCAGGGATTTCCTGCTTGCTCAGTTTACAGACCTTTACAAATCTTTTACAGACCTTTACAGATCTTTTCCTACCCACTGAAATGTAGGAGGTAGGCCTACCAACAGCACACTTCCCATCTTTTGTGACCCTCCTGGGAGGTAGACCACAGACCTGCAGAGGTCCCAGGATCATCTCCTCCAGTGACTGAGACAGCATGTTCAGGGTGTATGTAGGGAAGGTAGTGCTGGAAACTTTCAAACAGTATACGTAGGTGTACTACTCGACATCTTTAGAATAGGATACAGAATGGAAATGTAATTTGAATATGTAGCAATAGCAAGTGCCTCTGACATCTGACCCTTCTTTCCTTGGTCACATACTGGTATTTTTCAGATCCAGGATGGCTGTTTAATTCAGTGTTGATTGAAAAGCAAGTAGCATGACTGCATGGCTGTACTAGGACAAAACACTAAAGGTTTAAGTTTACTTGAAAAGTTTCTCCCTTGGATTCTTCATCTGGATCATTGTGGGGAGATCTTACAAAGTGCATGTATGAGAGAATTGTTTGACATGGTCTGCACTGGTGCCCTGAGTACATGTGGCCTGTCCAGGACATCTCCACCCCTTCTCATTGTGGAAGAGTCGAGAAGCCTTTGTAGTGTGCTATAGGGGAGGGGAGAAACCCTGATGAGGTAGTTATCCTCCAGACATGAGAAGTGGAGAACTGTAATTACCTTCATTGCCTCTGTTGTTTAAAAAAGGGTGATACTATCTTAGCCTTAGAAGAAAATGCATCAGGTTGCAAACTGAAGTGAACCTGATCATTTTTCTTACTCATATTTACTTCTCACTCTTTCATTATGTTATAATGTTTGTGATTTCTCAAAGCCAGCTATAATAGTTTGGTTTTGCTCTAAGTTACCTTTTCAGTCATACCTTTAAAGGGCTTGGAAATAAGCTTGCCTGGTCTGCCTGTGTTTGGGAGTACCCCACTCAGTGTGTGAAGCCTTGCAAAACAGTTACGGGGACAGTTACAAAACACCACTTATTCCAGTTAAAAGAATGCATGCCACTGATGCATGAGTCAAAAAGAAAATAAATGGAGAGGGAAATGCTAAATTCCATTTATGTTTTAACATCCATTTAGTCCAACCAAACTGATTCTGTGCCATGCCAAAGTCTAAACTGAGAGAACTATTATCCTTGTTCACCTCAGTTTGACTTTCTTAGTACGTGACTAGTCATCTTCAGGAGGTTATTTTCTTTGAAAAAACAAGATAAATGCCTTTTACAGAAGAAACAGCAGTGTAAACAGTAGAGGATTCTTGTTCCTGTGCTGTGTGATCAAAACTCTCCCATCCAGAAAAAATACTGGATTAGGCATTTTGAATTGAGAGGGAACTTGAACAGGATTCAAGGTTTATTACTTCTGCGAGGCTCACTATATTAAAGACCAAAGCCTGAACAGTGGGTCTAGTTGAATTTTTGTGTGTAGAATTAAACATCAACAGGCAAAAGTAGAAAAGATCTGAATTATGGCTAAATATAGTACTTTATGTACATGTGTCAGAATTCTTTTCAAGTTTGATAGCATCTGTTTTTTTTCTCTCTCGAAGGAGGAAGGATCCCATGCATTCTTTAGCGCATGGTTAGAAGGCGCCTCTTCGATATTTTCTTATCCTAATTCTTCAGAGTGTACCTTTATTGCCTTGCTTTAGCTCATAGCTTAATGACTGCAGGGCTCAGCCATGTACTGTATTTTTAACCCTGCCTTGTTCTGTCTTGAGCTTTAGTGGGCTGCATCTCAGATCCCTGTTATGCCAAGCTGTGTGCATGCTGGAAAAGCAATGTGCAATCACTTTTGCCATTTTTTATTTACTGCCTATTATTCAGTTGCTGCTCTGTCAGGCAGTTACTGATTTCTTCCACTTTGACTGTGTCACTGCCATATCTGAATGTCACAAGTTTTGCTTCATGTCACAACTTTAGTTCTATGATGCTTCCGTAAGGTGAAAAGTTGTAGCTTTAAGCACTGATACTGTAGGTGTATAAAACTGCTGGATACTGGGCTAACATCTCCGTTGCGTGGAAGGAGATTCTGTGCAGCAGCAAGGTCAGTCTCTGCTGTGCTGACTCCCCAGGCTCTGGAAAAAAAAAAAAAGAGAAGCTCCACTTGCTTGTTCTCTGCTATTGTGCAGCTCCTGTCCAACGCCAGCATCTGTAGGAACCTGTTTAAAGTGTATCATAAAGCTGTATGATCCTGGAATACCAGTTTTTTAAGTTCTGGCAGTTTAGCAGCCCAGACATTGCAAATGTGTAGAATCACCGCAAAGTAAGTCCCAGTTTTGGAATACTGTGAGTCAATGCAGATTACAGTGCTGTCCTGTTCTGTTGTGTGGTTTGTTTGTCTGCACCATCTCTGATTCAGATGGTTGAATTCATGGCAGCACATCCATATAAAGATTATAGTGGTCCATTGTGCCTTGGTTTTGGATTTCTATCATCTTCTACTGAAAACTGGTATTAATACTGATAAGGTGAATTTGAGAACACTACCGTCTGTATAGGGTGATTATTGTTCCTGTTCTCATTGAGGAATAGTACTAGTATCCAAAAGTTGCCCAGTAAAACAAATCTACAAAACTTTTATAAAAGCCAAGAAAGGGAAGATTTGATAATGTTTACTCTACTGTAATCACTAACGCATAGCAACAAAGGTAAATCTTGCAATATATCTTCTCAAGTGTCAAAGGATGTATTTGAGTTGTATATGCAATGGGATGAGCTAGGTTTATCATCTCCGTAGTTCAGCCCTTTTCCCTTTGGACTCTTTACCCCAAGACTGTCCGTCAGTTTTTGTTTATGGTATTTAGAGTCAATGTTCAGGGGGCTGATAGCTCGTGCAGCGTCTCCACTGCACTGAAGGTCAGTGCCCAGATACCCTCTGCAGCTTCTCTGTTGCAGTGATCTGCAGAATGCTGCTGCAGGCTCCTTCGCCTCTGCCTTTGCCACCCTTGTCCTCTGCCCAACGGAGCTGGTGAAGTGCCGGCTGCAGGCCATGCACGAAATGCAGTTGTCAGGAAAGATAATCCAGGGACACAAGTAAGTATATGCCCTGCACAGTACCTCTGAAACACTTTAATGTGTATTTATTATTTTAATTCTGCGTTGGCTCTCAGTGTCACATTTGTAGTGTGCTGTTAACCAGAGAAGAGTTGTGGCTGGGAGGGTCACAGCCTGGAGATCTTCCAGGTACTAGTGAAGCTGGATGCCAGTGAAGGGCTCCCAGCAGGATCTTGTTCTAAGTGTCACTTGAATTATATTGTCTAACACAATGGGTCTAACCCTTCTTTGTTACTGCAGTTGCCTGTTGTCCTGTAACCTTCTCATTATCTGGCTATTAAGCATCACTAACTGGATCAACCTCTCTATCAGTACAGTTTGGTCAGTAGTGAAGGGTGTTATTCAAAAGGATGGTCCCCTTGGATTTTACCGTGGCCTGTCAAGCACTTTGCTGCGGGAAGTCCCAGGCTATTTCTTCTTCTTTGGAGGGTATGAACTGAGCCGGACATTCTTTGCCTCTGGGAGATCAAAAGATGAATTAGGTACGGTGCCCCTTTTTCCAGGTGGATTTTAGCATGCTGTCATGGGAAACATAAAGAGGGGTGAGCATGTCTTCCCTGAAGATATGCTAATCATGCGCAGCAGTTGTAAAATACATGCAAAATGAAGGAAACTGGACGTAAAAATACAGAGGTTTGCAATTTGTGTATATAGTAGTGAATTATTGAAGTGACATTTTCCAATGGAGCAGAATGTATTATAAATAACAAATAAATACAGCGAGCTAACGGTAATACTACAAAACTACTTAAATATCTGACCCTACGGTGCAACACAACTCTGGACTATTTCATTTCAGCAGCCGTTCTGAGCGATTTTGAAGTCTTTAGTTGTATTCTCTTGAACAGTGTGTTCAAGTGTATGCTGACTGGTAGATGTCATTACAATGATAGTAAGAGAACACTGAGTTTGAAAATCAGACATGTAAAAATAAGGCAATGCCAGAATAAAGTTTGCTTGTCTGCTGTTCAAAGACTGAACAGTAATACTTTGTCTTGCTGGGAGTTAGGATTTCAGCTGCATGCATTCTGCTCTCTGTTGCAAAATGCTTATAAACATCTGATCTGAAACACAAAATGAGGTTGCATCGTGAAAAATGACTGATCACAAAGTAACTTCACTGTACCAAACAAATCTCTGTAGAGGTGATTGGTGCCACTATGTGATGTTACTCTAAACCATTTCACAGTTAGCACTGGAAAGTGATTACAGGTGTGAAAGAAGTGGAGTTAATTTAGTTAATACAGTCAAAACAGAATTCTGAGTTATGCTTTTTTAGTTTATTGGCCATGCGAAGAGGCACTCCTTGTAACCTTTGAGCTTCTGGTTAGACTTGCAACTCACCAGTGGCTTAAAATTAACTTAAAGGTTTGGGGGGGAGCAGAAACTGCTCTTTTTGTCATAAGCAGGTTCCTCTGTTCTCTTTGAATTCTGTAGATGAAATAATGTGATGTTTATGTTGGTGAATATTTTGGGGTGTATATAAAAGCTTGTTTCTTACATTTAGGTCCCATTCCTTTGCTACTAAGTGGAGGTTTTGGAGGCAGCTGTCTGTGGATTGCTGTGTATCCTGTGGACTGTGTCAAATCTAGAATTCAGGTTCTTTCAATGGCTGGAAAACAGACGGGCTTTATGGGAACATTTGTAACTGTTGTGAGAACGGAAGGTGAGTGTGCAGCGTATCAACTGAATCTGCAGGGCTGCAGATTGAAATCTATATCCTCCAATATCAAAAATTGCCTAAGAAATCTAGTCCACTGATAATGTGTTAGAGACAGACAATAACTGTTTCTAGCAAACTAATATTGATGCTTCATGTAGTCTGGAAAGTTTGGAATCTAGAAATTGAGACCTACTGCATCTCCCATGTCTCTTGATTCAGGAGACAATTCACTTACACCTAACAGCTCAGTACGCGTTAAAAGCTCCATTACCCATGACCAGACCTATACATGAAAATTGAAGGAACTGGTTAAGTTCCGTACAGAATTTTTCTTCACCTCTGGAAGTTAAGATATGGCTGACTGCGGGCCGTCTAATAAATCAATCCTGTCTAGTTTGGCAACTTGGGGCATCTGCCTCAGTGTCTCATCTCTGGAGAAGGTCTTTATCAAGCGCTTCAGAAGATAGTGTCAGAATGCACATGGCAGCAGATGTTAATCCTGGCCCTGTTGCTAGGGAAGACACTAATCAGAGCGGGAGTCTGGCTTGGGGCACAGCTCCAACATAGTCCTGCTGTTCTTTCTGTCCCCTTGCCAGCTGTGGTGCAGTTGCTGTGAGCTGTATCCTCAGGTGACCAAGGTAGCTTTCTGAAAACCCTGTCATACCTGAGATAAGCTTCTAACATAAACACTTAAACGGCTAACCTCATGTTACAACTCTAGGTACTCCTCCTGTATCAATATCCAGTAACACTGCAGTGAGCTGCTACACCAGTGAGCTCAGCTCTGTGTGTGCACATCCCTGTAAGCAGAAGCCTTAATTCAGTATCCTGCAAAGGTAAAAAACAGAGTGATTGATGCAGATAGGCATTCTAATAAATTGCTAACAGGCCCTGATTTCCTTTCCAGGTGTACTTGCCTTGTATTCTGGACTAAAGCCAACTATGATCCGTGCATTCCTGGCCAACGGGGCACTATTCCTTGCTTATGAGTACAGCCGGAAACTTATGATGCAACAAATAGATTCTTACTGATCCCTTCTAGCAGATGGAGAACAAAAGGTTGTGTGAGGATCACTTTAATAATCAATCAAAAATGTGTAGATCACATCGTGGTCTGAGCAGGGCCAAATCAGTGACCTGATTTTAGGAACTCCAGTTTAGGATTTGTAATTTTTTAAATACAGGTGATTTTAGAGAGATGTGTACATGCTGCTTGAATTGGACCAGCAGAACTATCTCCATCTTGCAGATTCTGTGCTAGGTACATTGCATGTCATAAATTGTATTTTCCTGACCTGTAATGGTGCTAAAATTACTTCTGTTGACCTGTTGGGTTTGGTGTAACACGCAGTGGTAGGCTGTGATTTAAAATCCATGCTGTGGTGGTGAACTTTCCCAGTTGTTGCTGGCAAGTGTCTGACTCAAAAATAATGGCAGTCCTGTCTGATCTTGCTGAGAATGACTGACTGACCTGTATCCCTCAGCTAGACCCCTGTCCTTTTCCAGCTCCCTTCTGCTCTGTGACTTTCCAAGGTCATGGCACTTGGTGACTGTCTTGTGACCTCTGTCCCAGTAGGAAGTGTTCACTCCCTACCTTGTATGACTCAGAGGTGAGATATGCCTGCATTTGACATAAAAACACACGGTTACTGGGTTTAAGGAGTCTAGGCAGCATTTTATTATTTTCTAAATCCAAGAAGTGCTGGACTACACCAAGCACCACTGAATTAAATACTTAACATAAGGGCAACTGCTGGAAATGTCTGCTGGCTCTGAGCACAGAATTCTGACTTTGTGTAGGCTCCTGCTTGGGGTCACCTTGACATGAATGAGTCCGTGTGCTTGAAGGGCAGGAAGCTAGAGAGGAGCAGAAAGCCAGAACTGAGTTCTTAGAGACAACTGACACCATGGTCTCCATGGTGTAGTGCTTGCTTTTGCTGGAGTTCTGCCACAGGCTGTGTCTCCTCAGCTGAGTGGAAAAAGCTCATATGACTGGATAGTTCACGTCACCCTCAGGCCAGGAGGGAATGTGTGCTTGGTCATGTTGCTTGATTAAATGTGCAGTTAGTCAGTGTTACCCAAAATGACGCAGTAACACCTATTTATTGCAGTAACACCTATTTCTAGCTACCACTGTCTTTAAGTAGGATGTTCTTTATACAAGCATGCTCTCCCTTATAAGCAGCAGCTACTGCTTATCCTGAGAGAAGGCAAATCAGGTCTCAGTAGCAACACAGTTCAAGACTCAGGCCTGGAGTTGTACAGAGGGATGTTGTCTGTGTGCTGCAAGTGACAACCCACCCTTGTGGAGGGCACAGACAGGCTGCCCCCTGGGATCAGCAGAGATCTTTGACCCGCTGAGATCATGAGAGCTACACAGAGATTAGCAACTTGTCACAGCAATCACAGCTTGTCAGTGACTGATGACAGTCACAGCTCAGTTTTGCGTGTTACAGCTTCCCCTTCAGATCCAGACACAGGTAAAAGCTTTAGCCATAGATGAAAGTATCTCAGTACCTACTGCCTCTTGCAGCGGAGCCAGGGTGCACTTAAACTGCCTACTCCACTGCATTGTTAACAGCCCCTTTGATGAAAGGTGATTGCTGGAGTTCCACAACCTCTTCTTCCTTCCCCAGCTTTCACACACAGCAAGAACTGTTTATCTCCTTTTCATACACCCCTGAGAACAGTTACAAGCAGAGCAGGCCTGAAGAATCTTCTGTTTATTGCAACAATTTACCTGGAGTGATCGGCACACCGGGACAGTAATACTGTGCATTGTCAGTACTTTGAAAGGAATTTATGCCAAATGTTTAAAAAATTCAGGTGGGAGGCTTTAAGAGTTGTTAATTTCCCCTTCTTTTCAAAGTTGTCTACCCAAGAGAAATAGTATATTTTTACATGTTTTTAATAGTTATAAAAAGGCAACGACTCACTCCACATCAGTGGAATACTTCAATCTATTTCTTAGGTTTGTCTTTGCTTTCATTTTTTAAAGCTCATGGTTGCAATTTTTAATACAAAAGTTGAAGCTTCAAAAGAAGCGGGATATTTAGAACTGAACCCACAGCAAGAAGCTGGGGGCTGAAGTAGACATGCATTTTGAGACTTTACCTTTTGAAGTTGATATGAGCAGTAATTTTTTTCCATTCACAGCTGCTTAAGCTGTACACATGTATCAGTTGTTCAGCTAAGAACTTCATAATGTTGGAATAGGAATTCATGGGAATAAAGTTTGATTTGATTAATTGAGTACTGGACTATTGTTTATGTGACAACACTTAAGCTTGTCTAGCTGAGGAGCAAAAGAGGGTGACGTCAATGTCACCACCTCTCCAGAATTAAAGGAAAAGGCTTTTTGCAATCAATGTATAAAGTCCCCAAAACTAAAGGAAAAGCACCAGCTATAACAAGGTGCTGTGAAACAACTGCAGATTTTACATCATCTGCTATGGAAAATAAAGCCATAGATTAGCCCTTTGCCCACTGCTTTGTTAGTACCACAGTCAGTTCTAACATTAGGGCTAAACCCAAGTTCCTAGATAGTTATGACCATGTTACCTGCTAAAAGGGTAAGTTTCCTGCTGGAAGAATGCCAGGAGTCTGGCACAGGTCACCTGTATTCTGCACATGTAAGGGATGAATGTCCACTACCTTGGCACTGCTGTGGAGTTCAAGACCTACTGTTACCACCAGAGCAGTGGTGCTTAGGTTGCTGAAGAGTGACGTATCTCCCTCTCATAGCTATTTTGTTACTCACTCCTGCCTGCACAACAGCCTTAACTGCATGCTTCAGCTAGAAAAAAAAATCTGACTTTTGCTATTACAGCCTTTGCTGCTGCTATATGAGATTAGCTTACTTCATAAGCAGGAAGAGGGTTCACCCTAACTGCCCTCCAAGTGATGAGAGAGGCCATCCTAGGACAGCAATATCCAGTTGCCAGAGCTAAGCCAAAAGCAACTGAGTCATCAGCCACTTCTAGCTGCGAGCAAATGGCATCCCCGTTCGTTCCAGCTCCTACCGCCGTGCTGACGCAGGAGCCTTGTCTGCCTTCTCACTCCGTTGCCCTCTAGTGACACAGCTTTGGTCTCACCCCTGTGTAAGTGGGTATCATCTGTTCCTTTTCTCAAGGCAGAGCTTGGCAGGAGCAGACACATGGGTTACATTAACTTCACCAGCACCACTTAACCTTGAGGGGCAGTTTAGTAAATTTAATGTGCAATAACATGCATCAAGACTACAGCTTGGGAACAGCGTTGCAGAAGTTGAACCCTTGCAGCAAAGACTAGCTGCAATAGCAGGCTCTGGAAACAGCAAATGCATTCTGGCCCTCTGCTCCTACTGCTGTCAGAGATCTGGAATACTACATCCGGTTTCATGTTCCCCAGTGACATTCTGGAGCAGGTCAAGCAGAGAGCAACCAGGATGGACAGTAGAGAGAGATGGGTTTGTTCATCCATAAGAGAGAACAGGAGAAATGTTACTGCTGTCTGCAGTTACTTCCTTCACGGGAGGGGACAGAACCAGGCTCTTCTGTCCAGACAAGAGACAACAGGCACAACTTGGAATGTGGGAAATTCCAACAAGGAATAACAGTTATTAAATTAAGTCTTGTATGAAATCCCCACCCTTAGAGATAACACAGAACTGAACTAGGCACTGTGAGGCTGTTCTGGCAAGCCCTGCTTTGCACAGGAGTTTGGACTGCATGATCTCCAGCTAGTTCCACTCACAATATCCCTAAACATCACACTGTATCTAAATTGGAGAGACGTGGATTTGACAGACAGGCCACTTAAGGGATGGCTGGATGGTTGCACTCAAAGGAGGTGTGGTCAGCAGCTCGGTGTCCAAGTGAAGACCAGTGACAAGTGGTGTTCCTCAGGGGTTGGTACTGGGACCGGCACTGTTTAACAGTTCTGTCAGCAACACAGACAATGGGATCAGAGTGCACCCCCAGCAAGTTTGCTGATGACACCAAGCTCTGTGGTGTGGTCGACACGCTGGAGGGAAGGGATGCCATCCAGAGGGACCTTGACAGGCTGGAGAGGTGGGCCCGTGTGAACCTCATGAAGTTCAACAAAGCCAAGTGCAAGGTCCTGCACATGAGTTCAGCACAATCCCAGACACCAATACAGGCTGGGTGGAGAATGGATTGAAAGCAGCCCTGAGAAGGAGGTGGGGGTGTCAGCTGATGAGAAACTCAACATTACCTGGCAACGCATGCTTGCAGCTCAGAAAGCCAATTGTATACTGGGCTGCATCAAAACCAGCATGACCAGCAGGCCAAGGGAGGTGACTCTCCCCCTCTGCTCTTGTGAGACCCCACCTGGAGTACTGCATCCAGCTCTGGGGGCCTCAGTACAGGAGAGACATGGAGCTGTTGGAGCAAGTCCAGAGGAGGGCCACAAAGCTGATCAGAGGGCTGGAGCACCTCTCCTATGAGGACAGGCTGAGGGAGTTGGGATTGTTCAGCCTGGAGGGAAGGCAGCTCTAGGGAGACCTTATAGCAGCCTTCCAGTACCTGAAGGGGGCTACAAGAAAGCTGGTGAGGGACTGTTTATCAGGGAGTGTAGTGACAGGACAAGGGGTAATGGGTTTAAACTGAAGGGGGGTAGAGTTAGAGAAGAAATTCTTCTCTATGAGGGTGATGTGTCACTGGAACAGGTTGCCCAGAGAGGTTGTGGATGCCCTCTCCCTGGAAGCGTTCAAGGTCAGGTTGGATGGGGCTTTGGGCAACCTCATCTAGTGGAAAGTGTCTCTGCCCATGGCAGGGTAGATGATCTTTGAGGTCCCTTCCAACCCAAACCATTCTATGATCTAAATGACACAGGCTCACTCTATTATGCAGCTAGAGCACACAATTGTTAGGACACACTGTCATTGAACACAGATTTCAACCTCCACACTTGAAGTACAGTGCCAACAGAAGCAGCCTCCAATGCTGTGGGAGTTTCCCACAGCTCAACTCCTAAATACCAGGTAATTACCTGACAATAGCAAAACTTGAGTCCAGACATACACTTCATAACATGTCACTACCCTCAAAACAAGCACCCAGAAAGCATGATCTCTCTGCCTACTTCATTAACTAGGTATTAGCTATGGGAAGCCATGTCACTCCCGTTCTTAGTTCCCAACAATAAAAATACTAAGGAAGCAACAGAACCAAGAAGCTCACCTCAACACATTTCACATCAAGGAAGGCTTGAACAGTGTCCACAATAGAGCTGCACTGCTGAGAACACTTGGAAGCAAAATAAGCATCCTGGAAGTTGGTGCATTACTTAGCATAGCTCAAGAGAGGTCAG